GTGAACAGTGAGATGTTTGGGCGCTGAAGTCGCCATAGCCAATTGAGAGTGAACTCGTATCTGAAAGCCATATCTCTGAGTTTTGAGTGGGCGCATGTCGCCAGTATACTGCGTTGCTGTTTACATGCATGAAAAGTGTGTTTGAGAACGAGTCTGATTGCATATTTCATGGTTCGTGTTTATTTTTGCTTCAGTTCTCCCTTCGCTGTGCCTCTTAAGTAAGGAGCGTGTCATAGCAATGACGGCATGGGAGTCTGATTGCATAAGGCTTGCCTTGTTTCTGTAGTTGTGTGAGCTGCCTTCACCCTCGTGTGCAATAACGGCTCACTGGGGTGCTGTAAAAAGTAGGCAGAGCAAAGAGACGAGGGGAGGCAGAGAGTAGAAAGACAGGAAGAAAGACAAACGAAAAGTAAGGAGCGTGTCATAGCAATGACGGCATGGGAGCATAAGAGAAGACTCAGGAGTCAGTCTGTCCTCTATGGCAGGGATCACAAACGGTATAGCGGAGCATTCTCAACAATTGCCACAATTGCTGGCATTGACCGTGCCCGCAAGACACTCCTGAAAAATCGCATGTTGGTTGCAGGTCAGGACAAAAGAAAAATGGGTATCACAGATGAGCATGCACTTGTCATGTCGTCCCTGGTCTGAAAGCAGACATTTCATGTCCGGGTGCAGAGGGTGAGCACCGTTTGGAAAGGAGGGGCAGCCCTCCGCACACGTGGCAACAGAAACCCTGGCATTGAAGTGATTCTGACAAATGGCGCCTGCAGCTGAGGTTAACACAACTTAACAGTATCTTCCTGCTGAGGAGAAGGTCACAGAGAGTTGACACATTGCCCTGCTACGGTACAGGGGCAGACACTGTTGCATTGATCTTGTGGTGCTGCACTTACATGGTCACTGTTATGATGGCATTGATGTACACACTACCTGCGGACCTAGGGACAGTTGGTCTTGTATTGTCCATGTATGGTGTAAAAGGTTTTTACTTTCCAGCACACTTCTCGACAGAGGTGGAATTCTCAGTTCCCGTAATGCAACTTATATGGTCATTGTTATAATGCCGTCGATGTACACACTACCTGAGGACCAAGGTACATTTGGTCTCGTATTGTCGATGTATCGTGTAAAAGGTTTTCACTTTCTGGCATGCTTGTCAACGGAGGTGAAATTCTCTTGATCAATTCCCACAATGCAGATTGTTGCGGCAGACCACCACCCAAAATTGGCTGCAAGCAGCGTTGCACAGGCCAATGGTCGGCACCCCTTCATTGGTCGGCTGCTTGGCAACCTGCAAAAAAAAAAAAACAAAACAAAAAACGAGTCCAAAGCCCCCCAATAACCCCAC